ATTTTAGCTTTACTACCATTTCTTCTTTAGTAATTCACACCTTGCTATGTGTGAATAGTCTCCATGACTGTTACTTGCTTTTGTGTACGTTACCATTTTATTGAGAGTTCTAGAAGGAATAGAAGATGGCTTCTAGTTTTAATGGGACTTCTATGCACTTGCTCTGGCCAGCAGGAACTGGATATGGGTTTGGCAGCCTCCTGCTTGACCATCTGGTGTGAATCTGGCCCTTGCTTGACCAGGACTGAAGCCCCAGCGTTCACCATTGGGCCAAGCACATCTCAGGCACTCAATAAATATCTGACTCATTGAATTTTAGAACAGAATTACAGCAGGGATATATTTTGCCCCCTCCTTTTTTTTTGTTAACTTGCATCATCATTACTTTAAACCATTTCTGGGTGAGCCCATGTCATGCTCCCACGCCCACAGAGCAGGTAGGTGTCTTCCTGTAAGCTGATGAGACGGTTTGACTGTCCAAACCCAGGAAAGTCCTCAACAGGAGCAATGGCTCCAGTCACTTCTTCTAAAGCCACAGCTGTACCCAGGAGGCATCATGAACATCAGAGTAGCCTGTGTCCAACAATTCTACACAGCAGGTGGTCACTTACGTATGGCTGCGGGCATTTCCCACCAACTCATTCTGTGACGCTTATCAGAAGCATAGTCCTCAAATGTACATATTGCTGAGCTCTTTCTTCCAATGCCTGGTTGGGATTTTTTTTTTAATTAAACTGATAAAGTCCATGTTTCCAGGCACAAGTCCTTGGAACACTGTCCTAGTCCACAGTGCTGCATCGGCCCTCTCCAGAGAGAAACGAGGAAGGCTGATTTTGTAGGAGGGCGGCAATCCCATACGCTAACCAGAGCGCACAGACTCTCCGAGCGCCTGCCGCGCTCCGAGTACTGACCAGCAGTCACGTGGGTCTGCCAGCTTTAGTCGGCATCCCAGAACACCCTCCACCTCTGTTTGCTTTTGCACACAACAGTGCAGCTCCGAGTTCTCTGCTGCCTAACTCCCATCGAGAGCTCGCTCCTGAGAAATCACACTCATGCCTGATGGACATGCAGACCACCCACAACGTGAGACACTCCCCACTGTACGGCTGGGACAATCCAGGCCATCAGAGTGCTCGTCTTGGTCAGCCCGGGCTGCTATGACAGAATACCAAAGACGGGGGCCTTGAACAGCAAACATTTCCTTCTCGCAGCTCCGGAGGCTAGAGGTCCAAGATTGGGGCGCCAGCACGCTTGGGTCCTTGGTGAGGGCCCTCCTCCTCATTCACAGGCAGTGCCTTCTCACTGTGACCACCCTTGAAGGAGAGAGAGAGCTCTGGCCCCTTTATCCACAGCCAAATTGCAGCCGAGGTAATTTGCAATGTACACGGAAGCTGTACCTATTTCTATCCGGTGGCGTTAGGAAAAGATGGGGGAGTCAATCCTTGAACTAAATCTTGAAAGATGACTAAGTAACAATAGGCAGAGTCAGGGCAGCAGAGACATTTCAAGCAGAAGATGAAGCCAGAACAAAGGAATAAAACTCCGTCACACACTTTGGGACTCCAAGTGCTTCTGCAAGGTGTGTGGCACTGGTAGGACCAGAGGAAGAGGAGCTCACATTAAATCTGGGACAGAGCAGGCCACAGGTGGCCTTGTAAGCCGTGCAAGGCAAGCACGCGGGGTTCTGTTCTATGAGCAACAGGGAGCGGAGCAGACGGTGAGATACACTGATTTTCCACATCTTCCAAAGGCATTTCCTTACACTTTGCCAGTGGTGCTAATGCTACCGTGGGGTAAAAATCCCATCCACGAGGCTTCCTACACCTGATCACATGCAGTTTATAGTTCTAGTTTTTAATGAGATCAGGCATGAGTGATGCAATCAGTGAGTCACTGGGACAAAGAGGGCTTATTTCTGTAGCTGAAAGTCTCCAAGAACCTTTAGAACATGTTTACACAAGGTGGGTAGTACATAAAACCAGTTTTTCTTAAACAGTCCAATACAGGCCACACAGACCCTGACAGTGAAAGAGATACAATGCCAAAAAACTGGTCACCGCAAATTTAATAGTATTTGCCAAAAAGTTAGACTATTATGCTTCTACCCAATCTGTTGTTATGTTTGTAGGCAGCTTAAGGGAGTAACATGTTAACATCACAATAGGACTCCCTGCTCCGCCGGGAGCCTGCTTCTCCCTCTCCCACTCCTCCTGCTTGTGTTCCCTCTCTCACTGTGTCTCTCTCTGTCAAATAAATAAAATCTTAAAAAAAAAAAGAAAAATAAATAAATAAAATGTTAACATCACAGTATTTTTTCAATCAATGCACTGTTTGAAAATTTAGGTGTCCTGGGGCGCCTGGGTGGCTCAGTAGGTTAAGCCTCTGACTCTTGACTTCAGCTCAGGTCACGATCTCACAGTGGAATCGAGCCCCAACTCGGGCTCCAGGCTGGACGTGGAATCTGCTTGGGATTCTCTCTCTCCCTCTGCCCCTCCCCACTCTGCTTATACACACGTGCTCTCTCTCTCTCTCTCTAAATAACAACAATAATAATAATAATAATGAAAATGTAGGTGTAAAATATCTCCAAGAGAAAACTGAGATTTATGGAGTGCTCAGGATATACCAGCCACTGTGTTCCACGCTTTTATATGCATCAGCTCAACTAAAACAAAACCAATAGCCCCATGAGGAGAAATTTTTAAGCCCATTTTAAAGATTAGGAAACTGAGGCTCACAGAACCCAGGCCACACGCTAGTGAAGAATAAACCCAAAGTTTCTAACTTCCATCCAGGGCTGCATCCGTGACACAGCCCATCCCCTTCTGGGGTCTCTGTGTGGAGGACAGGCGCTTTTCCTCCTCAGTCCCAATAACCTGCCTGGACCAACCCACCCAGCTCCACTGACAAAAGTCCTGACAGCCTGGGGCTCTAGATGCAGCATCAAAATCCTAGAACGTTCTGTTAGGTTCAGGATGTTCTATTATGCAAGGCTGCCTAAACTTAAGAATGATCCAGGTCATGATGAAGATGAAAAATTATTAAGAAAGGCTTTCCTAGATTTTAATTTAAAAAATTTGTACCATACACTTAATCCCAAATCAAATACATTCTACTTGAAGTCTTACACGCAGAAAGGCCCAGCAAGGACCCTGACTTCCTGAGTTTGGATGAGCCACGAGGAAGCAGAGTGCAAAACAAAGCTACAGCACACTTCCTCGGGGGCCCTCCATGCCGGGGGCTGCAGGTCTGCTCTGAGAAATTCCAAGGAGTAGCAAGAGCACCTCTTCAGGCCACGGCCTAGGCTTTGTGATGGGGCAGCTTGCCAACTGTGCCTGATAAACTACTCCATGCGTGTCCATCAGGACATCTTAAAATTCAAGGGCAGCCTGCTAGGGACTTCTGTGCATAGTGACCCTTTCTGTCCCACCTCTCAGGGGCACACAATCCTCACCTTGGCAACAAAACCATTTCGCATGGCACTGCTATGCCTGCCTCCAGGGAAAGGCAAGGAGAGAGCAAACCCGCAGTTACCAAGCACGGCACCATAGACTTTGACATGTTCTTTTCCTAATAACCTAATGCCGTGGGTTTTAAAACTTCTTAAGCAAACGGACGCCCGGGGGGTTAAAGCGACTTGTTCAGTAACTCTGTAGGCCCTCCCGGCCATATTGCAATGCTGAGCGAAACCTGGGAGAAACGGCCGAGCCGGGAGTGCTTCAGAGATGGTCACATCTTCATCACGTGGTATCCTACAGTCACAGCACTTCTATGAACGGCAAAATGTTGAATGTCCACTGCTTTTCAGTCTTCAAACAAATCTTTCAGAAATTCTAAAATCATTCCATGAGATTAGCTCATAAACCCTTTTTAAGTATGCAGGGCGCCTGGGTGGCTCAGTTGGTTAAGCGACTGCCTTCGGCTCAGGT